CTCGCCTGACTAGTAATATTTTCACAGCTGGTTCCTAAGTGTCACCGCTTTCGTCTAGAATCATTAGGAATTTTTCGATAGAAGACAGTAGAAATCTGACCGGGTTCCGACGGGAAAAAAATGGTAGGAATCGAAAGAAACCGGCCGGTTCCGACCAAGAGGCAATGAGCACCACAGTTTAAATCTTTATCTATGAAAAATAATAACTATAAGAGTCATTGGGCATCTGAAGTAAAATTAAATAGATACTTCATTTCATATGATTATAATTCTTTAGAGAATGGTGGAATTTATAATATTATTGTAAATTCAATTAATCGATTAAAAGATGGATTATTAATGCTAAATTTATTTGACAGTGAATCAAGTGATGCTGATACAAATTATCGTGAACGAATCACAACAAGATTTTATTTAATATTTTATTTAATATCTATTTTTATTATAATCTTTTATACGATTGCTTTAAATATAATTGTATATGAATCTATTTCGAATCCTACCGAAAATGAATATAATAACCTAATGATGTTTTATTCCAAATCACTTTATTGTCCTTGTAGAAAAATATCAATTGAATATACATCTTTTCTTAAGATAGAAACAAAATTTCATTCAATATGTTCAAGTGATTTTATTAGCAAAAAATGGCTTAAGTATTTATTTCTTGATAAACAGTGGATTGGTTATGATCGACGGGATATTCGTGTACGTGGTTCTGCCTATTTTTCATTTCTTTTATCGTTATGTAAAATATCTGAAATAACAATAGATAATTCTATTAATCAATTTCTTAATGATATATTTATTAATACTCAATTGATAACGAAATCTGAACTTGAAATTCAAATTGATTTGGTTATTTTACAATTTCGAAATATTACTCTAGAAAAATTCTCTGAAAGTTTCAAACTTTTACGTGATATCGTCAATGGTAATGCTTTTATATCATCATATTCTTTAAATTGGTATTGGTGGAAAGATTTAAAAGACACTTTTGTTACATTTCCTATTAAATCAGTCCTAACGAAAGATCAATGTTCATGTGCAACACGAAGTGATTGTATTGATTCAGGTGGAATTTATGATGGTCTTAGTAATAAACAAAGATTTGCAATACCTGGATGGAATATTGGATGTTCAGTTGTAGAAACATTATTAAGTTCAACATTTGAATGTTTTTATTAATATTTTATTTTCCACGTGAATTACTAGCATTACCTTATCGAATAAATATATCTGCTATGAATTTTTCAAATGAAAACCATTTTCAACCAGATATATTTATTCAAAATATAGCAAGTAAATTATTTTTTGAAGAATGGAAGAGTATGATATTTTATTCATCTTTTTATAATCAATGTAATCCAATTTATTGTTTTTATAAAACTAAAAAAAATGATTATATTATTTATACAATATTAAAAGTTTTTGGTTGATGTGGAGGATTAACTATTGCTTTACGATTTATTATTCCAATTATAATCAAAATAATATTTCAAATTCGAAATAAATGTCGAAGAAATACAATAATTTCTAATCAATAGTTTTTATAATTACATCAAAGTTGACTATCTTAAAAGTATTTCAATAAAAATATGTATTTTATTGATTGTGAAGTTTTTCATTTCGATTAAAAATAAGATCGTATCATAAAATCTTCTCGAATATACGTGATTAGATTGTTCTGCTTTTTCAGAGTGTGACTATATCTACATTTATAATTCTTCTCAGTATGTTTCCTACAGATTCTTTCAAGTTTATATCGAACATGATTGAAATTTTCATGGAAATTCATAGTTTAAATAACAAATATTTCGAGAAGTAAAATATAAAATAAGTTGAAATTATTTTATTTTTTATTGATCATAGAAATTCTATTGATTTGAACAGATTTCATAAATTCTAAATATGAACTATTTTACTTATTTATTATAAATTGTCAAAATAATTCCAATAGACGTACGTGAAAAGAAAATAGCATAACTTATGGTG